GAAATTCTCATCCCTGCCCACTGATGTGCATGTGCTGAATGTACTGAGATTACAGTCGTAGATGTCCACCACTTCAGCAAAGATGAAACTCCGGAGTCGCTCGACGGCCGCAGCTATTCGTAGAGGAAGTCTAGTAAGGAAACTGACCGACAACGTTTCCCGGGGGGTCGTAGCTGCAAACGACGAACAAGGCACCAGAGGGACAAGTGGCCGACCCGCATCCCAGCGCCGCTGTGTCCCTCCACACGACCTGTTGCAAAGAGCGCGACCCGTGTCAAAACCCGCGAGGCTCATCACATCGACTGCACGCCCGACCGTGGAAAAAACAGCCACACAAATTGACTTCCAGTTTCTCGTCCCATACCCCTAATCTTTCTTACGTCTGTTGGAACAGCTTTATGCTGATACAGGTCCTGGGCTCGTGGTTAGTTCGCAAGATCTATAAATCTCTGAAATTCAAACAACGGCGGAAGGCCATGGAAACACAACTTCGCGCACACCAGGCAAGAGAAGCACGACAAGAATTTGCTTGGGACCTGCGTGTAATGACCGCATGACTCGCCCTCTGGGGGCGAGCACGAATTTGTTGCGTAGTCGTAATATGCCTCCTCGCTGACCCAGGCCTGCACTGCATCCGCTGGGGTGCTCGGTCCACTGGACCAGTAGATGTTCTCCCCGTAAGGTCCTCCAGAGTGTATGAGAGCGCAGTCGTCACCAGCAGCTGCTCTGGTGGCGGCCCAGTCAGTAGCATACGATTCCAGCGTGATGTCCCAGGACAGGCTCGGTATGCCTTGATTCAGCCCAGCTCGGGCATCATTGTGCGGAGTGAGGTACTCGTCTGCTATGGATTGTCCCTGGGCGACATTGATGATGCTAGACGCTGTAAGTGAGATGACAAGAATATGAATCAGAAATCGTGGTCTCAAGCTGAAACCCATCGTAAAACTGAGGATCCAGAAACTTCGAGAAAGAAAAATGTTTTTGTATAGGAGAAATCGAGAGCAGAGTGCACTCGGTCTGATATTTTAGATGTACTCCAGCCTTCGAGATAGTCCTGCTATAAGGATGGCGATCTGAGATAGGAGGAAGTAATCTTCACCCTAAATCCCAGCGATGAGATCGCAGATATGCTTTGAACGATCACTCCTGATCCTTTTATACCACCGAAAGTTCTGAACTTGCGTGAGAGATCAGTGTAAAGTATTGAAATTGGTATATGCAAAAGGTAGAATCGGGACCCACATGAGCATTTCTCGAAGCCTTTTTTAATGAAATAAATCATTGGCGAGCATTCTTAATTCCTCCCGGAATCCTCGCTACAACTGCGATTAGGCTTGTCATCTGGGCTCTACTATACATCTCACTCACAAACAAATGCAGTCTGGACGCGGCTTATCGACGACCTTTGAAGAACTCGATAGTCTGTGATCTGGAAGACCCTGGGAGGATCCTTGTCAAAAGTCAAGTCCAGTGTCCAGCACATGAATAAACAATATCGAGATATCCACTAGTGGGCTGACGTTAAGAAATTGGAGGACTAGAATAGGTCCATTCCCAATCCCTTGGTCAATCCAGAGTATCTTATATGCAGCTGCAGGAGAGTTTGCCAAACACATAGGACGTGCGTGTCCGCTATCGTGAAATGATCGCTTGAGTTCTTGAAATGATCTTCTCTGATGATCTGAGTCATTCTTTACTTCAGATAGCTGCAACCTAGAAAGACCATGTGGATCTCGATGCAGTTTATTGCATCGAGGTCATGCAGTTCAATGCCTTGAACTGGCTGTTCTTCTTCAACGTTATATAGAGAAATGAAATTCCTTCCGAAGATTGGTTCTGGACCGGCCAGTCGACAGTCGTGAGGATTGGAAGCAAACTATTTCAACAGTTCTGTTACCAAATTGGTTAACATTTCAGGTTTTCATACAATTTTGTAGAAATAGTAACTAAAGGTTGCAGTGTTGTGATTCAAAGCTATGGAACCACAAGTGATCTTCCGACTTTTGATTCGTACCATAAATCTTTCTTTGATTTTTACCATAGTTGAACATCACATTTCATTATCTTCATAATAAGATTTATCAAAATTACCCAATAACACCACTCTAGCACCAATTTGTTTGCTGTGATTTTAGAAACTTTAAGTTCACAGTTTTTCTGTATAGTCTGTTTGTATGTGAGTCAATAGACATAAAAAATTATGAAACTTATGCTGTCTATATTATGTGCATGAAATTATGGTTATTCACAAGTAATAATGACTTGAAGCAGGTAAACAGCTTTGAGATTTTGTAAGAAGTTTTTCAAACCCATGTTTATACTATGTTCAACAAGAGAGCGAGAGTATTTCTGTACATTCTGTAAATAATCATGTAAGAACTTGTCTACTGAATGCATTAGATTTGATTCGAAACTCGAGCAACCTCACTTTCGACTTTTAGGTACTCTTAACGTTAGCCCACTAGTATATATCTCGATGTTGATTATTCATATGCTGGACACTGGACTTGACCTTTGACAAGGCTCCTCCTAGGGTCTTCCAAATCATAGACTATCAACTTCCTCAAAGGTAGTCCGATGAGTGGCGTCTCGACTGCATTTGTTTATGAGTGAGATGTATAGTACAGCCCAGATGACGAGCCTAATCACAGTTGTAGAGAGGATTCCGGGATGAATTAAGAATGCTCGCCAATGGATTCTTTCATTCGAGAAATGCTCATGTGGGTCCCGATCCTACCTTTTACATTTACAAATGTCAATAGTTTGCACTGATCTCTCACGCAAGTTTAGAACTTGCTATGCTATAAAAGGATCAGGAGTGATCGTTCAAAGCATATATGGGATCTCATCGCTAGGATTGAGGATGATCATTACTTCCTCCTATCTCAAATCGCCATCCTTATAGCAGGACAATGTCGAAGGCTAGAGAACATCTTAGATATCAGACCGATTACACTCTGCTCTCGATTTCTCCTATACAAAAAAAATCTAAATCACAACAACCTAAATCTAACCCTGACCTTTAATCTGAATCCTAAACCTATTGTACAGAGTCGCTAGCGTCTTTATTAGCTTTAGATCCAAGATCTGCGGCTACAAATTAGCAGTCATGTGCGGCTGGCTGAGACCAACGGCCCCATCAAATTTCAGCTCTAACCGACACTCCACTGCAAAGATATGAGTCCCGCAAGATCTCTGATCCAAGGCAGAAATTCCTTGTCCAAAATCTGAGATCCAGGGGACCCACATGCCGCTTGAATGCCGTTCCCGCGATTATGGGTAACGGCCTGCTTCCCATGCGCGACTTCACGTCCCGCCATTCTACTTCCCACGCGCGACATAATCCCGCCAATTTCCGCCGTCGGGAATCTTCGTCCGCGTGGCGCCGAAGGCGTACCACCAAAGGCGTCTACCGCCCAAGGCCCTTGCCCCGAAGGAACTCTTCCGCCGAAGTCACTCCATATCAGTCATTTTCGACACTCATTACTCAATAATCCCTTATCCGTTCCAAGAGTTTTTGGGCTCGTTAGAACGAGCGTGTCAAGTTATTTCCAAAAAAATCCTAACCAAGTCAAGGCGTTATAATTTGAGAAAGTTATGAGGGATTCACTCTCCCGCCGAAGGCACTCTTCCGTGGAAGGTCCCATATCAATAACTTTAGACACTCATAACTCAGTGATCGTTTATCCGTTCGACGAGTTCTTGGGCTCGTTAGAAGGATCGTGTTGAGTTCTTTCTAACAAGACCTCAACTAAATCAAGGCGTTACGAATTGAAAAAGTTATAAGAGATTCACCTTTCCACCGAAAGTGTACCGCCGAAGGTAGTCATCCGCCGAAGGCGTCTACCGCCGAAGTCTCCCCATATCAGTAACTTCCGACACTCATAACTCAGTGATACCTTATCTGTTACAAGAGTTCTTGGGCTGGTTAGAACGAGCGTGTCAATGTCTTTCCAACAAAAACCTCCCTAAATAAAGGCGTCATGAATTGAGAAAGTTATGAGGTACCTAACGCCGAAGGCGCTCGAAGCGGGTCCTGTAGCATGAACCGCCCGTTACGTCCCAAGCGCCCGACTGAGGCCTAAGCCCAAAACCCTTAGACTAGTCTGGATACTCCTAGATCCCGAGATTCTCTTTTAACTCTGTTTTCGAATACTAATTATTATTTACAGCTTCTATCGCGGTATTTACTATTCTAAAATGTTTTAATTATGAAAAAAACAAAAAATGGATTACCACAAGAGGCCGTACACTTGATTCAAGAAGCCACCTCCTGGTACTCAGGCGGTAGCCATGAACAAAGCTACTGTTCTAAGAAGTTCATAAATTCTCGCTTGCCAGTTGGTGGTCAAGCTAGCGTATCCGGAACCCAAATATTATCTTCCTACTCTCCACCTGTGTATGTGAACTCCTTCCTACTCTTCTGGCTATACCTTAAAAAAAAGTTTCAGCTCTCCCTTGCAGATATCTTTTGGGCAATATTGTATTTGCATGTCTTGTAGGCCCTTTGTACATATCAAGAAATTTGCTCCGTCTCAAGCATATTAAATTCAAATGATCGAGCAGCTACGAAGTATCACATTTCAGCTTACGTTGTGAGTGATGATTATCATTCATAGATTATTAGATATATCTATTCTTCCAAGAGCCTTCTCGGATGACATCGCTCTCATATGGACTTTGTACTCATACCTTCCACTCAGTAGTCTTCAATAAATTGGTCTAGCACGCCACAATCGTGATAGCTCGAAAACGTATGCAAATATTATTGGGAGAGCGTGTATTGGTGTGGCTCCATCACTACAGACATAGTAGAGCAGGAAGCATGAAAGTTGATCGTATAAGGGGGCGCGCATGCGCACGTTGATGACGTCTACAAACAGCTGATGTCTGAGAGCATCAACGATGTGATTGTCAGATGACTGTCTCCTTCCTTTATCCGTTTTCGACTGCAAGTCTATGTTTAAGTTTGAAATGATTATCCTGCCAGAGATTTTCAGGTCGCCATGCACTTCCTCTTCAATCAAGGCCAATACAGATTTCCAAATAAAAGATTCAAATAAATCGCAACTCCTCCAATATTTTTATTACGATTGAGCTTTCTGAAATCCACTCAGCTATCAAAAGAGACGACGTTTGCTCTTTCCCCGCATCAAGCTACTCGCAACGACTGATAACAAGTTACAACCACGATGCCCTACCAGGGATTCGAGTTATGCTTAAAAGTGATTGTTCTAATTTATGCCAACTTAAAATCTCATCTACAGTATATCACTCAGTACTATGCCAGCGTAGAAGCAATTCAAACGCGCTGTATTCAGAGACAACATTCTCTCTACACTCTCTGTCATCCTCACGGCAGCGAGCGGTGGAGTGGTCTCCTATGAGTTCCTCATCCCTGCCTCTCCCTAATTTGCCTTTGATATTCGTCTACTGATGGACATTTGCTGAATGTACTGAGCTTACAGTACTATGTGTCCACCACTTCAGCACAGATGAAACTCGGAGTCGCTCGACGGCCGCAGCTATTCGTAGAGCAAGTCTAGTAAGGAAGCTGACCGACAACGTTTCCCGGGGGGTCGTAGCTGCAAACGACGAACAAGGCACCAGAGGGACAAGTGGCCGACCCGCATCCCAGCGCCGCTGTGTCCCTCCACACGACCTGTTGCAAAGAGTGCGACCCGTGTCAAAACCCGCGAGGCTCATCACATCGAATGCATGCCCGACTGTGGAAAACACAGCTACACAAAAATTGACTTCCAGTTTCTCGTCCCATTCATAATTTTGCAAAGAATGCATGAAGCCCATCATCTTGTTTACATATGTGGGAACAGCTTTATCCTGATACAGGTCCTGGGCTTCGTGGTTAGTTCGCAAGATCTAGAAATCTCTGAAAATCAAACTACGGCGGAAAGCCATGGAAACACAACTTCGCGCACACCAAGCAAGAAAAGCACGAAAAGACTTTGCATAGGACCTGCGTGTAATGACCGCATGACTCGCCCTCTGGGGCCGAGCACGAATCTGTTGCGTAGTCGTAATAGGCCTCCTCGCTGACCCAGGCCTGCACTGCATCCGCTGGGGTGCTCGGTCCACTGGACCAGTAGATGTTCTCCCCGTAAGGTCCTCCAGAGTGTATGAGAGCGCAGTCGTCACCAGCAGCTGCTCTGGTGGCGGCCCAGTCAGTAGCATACGATTCCAGCGTGGTGTCCCAGGTCAGGCTCGGTATGCCTTGATTCAGCCCAGCTCGGGCATCATTGTGCGGAGTGAGGTACTCGTCTGCTGTGGATTGTCCCTGGGCGACATTGATGATGCTAGACGCTATAATTGAGATTACAAGAATATGAATCAGAAATCGTGGCCTCAAGCCGAAACCCATCGTAAATCTGAGGATCCAGAAACTTCGTGGAAGATATTATTTTTTTACAGGAGAAATCGAGAGCAGAGTCCACTCGGTCTGATATCTAAGATGATCTTTATCTTTCGAGATAGTCCTGCTATAAGGATGGCGATCCAAGATAGGAGGAAGTACTCTTCACCCTCAATCCCAGCGATGAGATCGCAGATATGCTTTGAACGATCACTCCTGATCCTTTTATACCACCGAAAGTTCTGAACTTGCGTGAGAGATCAGTGTGAACTATTGAAATTGGTATATGTAAAAGGTAGGATCGGGACCCACATGAGCATTTCTCGAAGCCTTTTTTAATGAAAGAAATCATTGGCGAGCATTCTTAATTCATCCCGGAATCTTCTCTACAATTGCGATTAGGCTTGTCATCTGGGCTCTACTATACATCTCACTCACAAACAAATGCAGTGTGGACGCCGCTCATCGGACGACATTCGAGGAACTTGATAGTCTGTGATCTGGAAGACCCTGGGAGGATCCTTGTCAAAAGTCAAGTCCAGTGTCCAGCACATGAATAAACAACATCGAGATATCAACTAGTGGGCTAATGGTAAGATATTGGAGGACTAGAATAGGTCAATTCCCAATCTCTTGGTCAATCCAGAATATCTTATATGCAGCTGCAGGAGAGTTTGCCAAACATATGGGACGTTCGTGTCCGCCATCGTGAAATGATCGCTTGAGGTTTGATTTGTGCTAGATCTCAGAGGACTTTATATCAGAAACTGTGTTTATCAAATTGCCCAAATCTTCTGTATTGCTGCTGTATCCTACAGTATTCAAAATCTTTATTTCTTATATCCAAGTATGATTATTTCTTAATGTTAAATAGTTGAATATCAGCACAAAGGGTAATGATATCAAAATATTTAATTTTTTTCTTATTGGATAGGCATATCCACATCTAGTTTTAGGCGACTTGGAGTTGCACTTCAAGTATTCAATATCTTTGATTGTTTCAAGGAAGCAGCATCAGGGTAACTTCCATTGTAACTTAGTCATATGCTATATGCTCGTTGGCTTCTTGTACTGAAAAAGTCCAATCATGACATTAGGTCGGTTAATCAGCTCTATCTTGTTTTCTATCATTCCATACAGAGAGTAGGTAGAGGACGAACCATTTATGACCTGGTCGATATATCCATCCACAGGCATGGAGCGAGTTTAGAGTTATATCTAAGCTTTATAGCAATATGATTGTTAGATTATAATTATGCACCACTTTCATATATCCATGTATCATTTCTATATTTTGAAATCAAGGGTTTATGAAGCAATATCATTGGGCATTGCATGCTTCTTCATAATTGTCCAAATCATATGTTTTGAAAGTGAATTTTAAGCATGCTGTTTCTGGATGCACATGTTTTAGATAGCTTAATAACACTTTTTGGACCTGTAATGAGACTCATTTTTCTTCTTCAATTATATTTCTTCAAGATATATTTGGAACTCATTTATTCCATTGATGTTATCCCTGGATGCATTCAATGATCGAAGTTATGTACTCCGTGATGTCGATGTTGAGGGTGAAGAGTACTTCCTCCTATCTTGGATCGCCATCCTTATAGCAGGACTATCTCGATGATAGTCCTGCTAGAACCATCCATTTCCTCGAGTTTCAAATCGAATAAAAAGATTTCAGATATTATAATGCGCGTTGACAGATCTGTGTGTGCGTTTGCAGAGGTGACCATTCGAGTCATCGCGACAGAAAGAAATATAGAACATCAGATTTGGAACGATTATCTGTTCAGAAGGAGTTTCATTAACTTGTGGTTGTTGCAATCAAGTCCCCGGAAGCTCGATCTGAGAGTTTGTGACCAAGCAGAAGCATGTCGTGGCAATGTCTCGAGTAAATATTTCGATCCCGTACTCAACAAGGTCACGACAGATATGTTGGGCAACGGCATGGCAAGAACGGTGAAAAACTTTAGCTGCATTATTCGAATATGTTGTATTTACCGTCGACTTCGAATCGTATGCAGAAGAATACCGAAGATTTCGGCAATTTGGTAAACATGGTTTCTGGTGAAATATCCTCAGAGATCCAGCAGAACTCAAGCGATCATTTCACGATGGCGGACATGCACGTCCCATGTGTTTCGCGAACTCTCCTGCAGCTGCATGTAAGATACTCTGGATTGACCAAGAGATTGGAATTTGGACCTATTCTAGTCCTCCAATATCTTAACATTAACCCACTAGTGGATATCTCGATGTTGATTATTCACGTGCTGGAAACTGGACTTGACCTTTGACAAGGCTCCTCCTAAGGTCTTCCAGATCACAGACTATCAAGTTCCTCAAAGGTCGTCCAATGAGCGGCGTCCAGACTGCATTTGTTTGTGAGTGAAATGTATAGTATAGCCCAGATGACAAGCCTAATCGCAGTTGTAGAGAGGTTTCCGGGATGAATTAAAAATGCTCGCCAATGATTTCTTTCATTCAAAAGGCTTCGAGAAATGCTCATGTGGGTCCCGATCCTACCTTTTACATATACCAATTTCAATAGTTTACACTGATCTCTCACGCAAGTTCAGAACTTGCGGTGCTATAAAACGATCAGGAGTGATCGTTCAAGGCATATCTGCGATCTCATCGCTGGCATTTTGGGTGAAGATTACTTCCTGCTATCTCGGATCGCCATCCTTATAGCAGGACTATCTCGAAGGCTAAAGAACACCTTAGATATCAGACCGAGTGGACTCTGCTCTCGGTTTCTCCTATACAAAAAAAATATCTCTCTCGACGCTTCTGGATCCTCAGTTTTACGATGGGTTTCGGCTTGAGGCCACGATTTCTGATTCATATTCTTGTCATCTCTCTTACAGCGTCAAGCATCATCAATGTCGCCCAGGGTCAATCCATAGCAGACGAGTACCTCACTCCGCACAATGATGCCCGAGCTGGGCTGAATGAAGACATACCGAGCCTGACATGGGACACCACGCTGGAATCGTATGCTACTGACTGGGCCGCCACCAGAGCAGCTGCTGGTGACGACTGCGCTCTCATACACTCTGGAGGGCCTTACGGGGAGAACATCTACTGGTCCAGTGGACCGAGCACCCCAGCGGATGCAGTGCAGGCCTGGGTCAGCGAGGAGGCCTATTACGACTACGCAACAGATTCGTGCTCGGCCCCAGAGGGCGAGTCTTGCGGTCATTACACGCAGGTCCCATGCAAATTCTTCTCGTGCTTTTCTTGCTTGGTGTGCGCGAACTTGTGTTTCCATGGCTTTCCGCCGTAGTTTGATTTTCAGAGATTTCTAGATCTTGCGAACTAACCACGAGCCCAGGACCTGTATTAGCATAAAGCAGTTCCCACATATGTAAACAAGATTATGGGCTTCATGCATTCTCTGGAAAAGTATGAATCGGATGAAAAACTGGAAGTCAAGTTTTGTGTCGCTGTTTTTTCCACAGTCGCGCATGCAGTCGATGTGATGAGTGTGAGCACAAAATTGTGCTCACATGTCTTTTTAACCTTGTGAGAGTTAAAGTTTTAGATTTAAGCTCTTGCAAAATTATGCTCGGAGTTTTTTGGAAGTTTTGGTAAGATTAGGAGTTGGTGTAATAGCTAGTAGGCAAAGGTCCGGAACGGGGCTTTCAGGGCAGGGTCTCCGGCGAAGAGCCTTCGGTGAAGTTCCTTCGGGGAAAGGCCTTCGGCGAAATAGTGAAACCCTCATAACGTTTTCAATGTGTGACTCCTTGACTCAGTTAGTGTCTCCTTGGAAAGAGCTCGCAACGCTCGTTCCAACGAGACCAAGAACTCTTCAAACGGATGAGGAATCACTGAGTTGTGAGTGTCGGAAGTTACTGATGGGAAGGGTTGAGGCAAGTCCGGTTGCGAACGTCTCCGGCTGCGAACGTCTTCGGCTCCGGACGTCTCCGGCTGCGAACGTCTCCGGCTGCGAACGTCTTCGGCACCGGGGGTCTCCGGCTGCGAACATCTTCGGCTTCGGACGACTTCGCGACAACTGCGAGCAGGCCTTCGGCGAACTCGGGGTCGGCGAGCTCCGAGCCGGTGAACATCGTGCAAGGGCCATCGGCGAAACAGTAAACTCGGCATATCTTTTTCATTTGTTAACGGTTTGACTTGATTAGGGTCTCGTTGGAAAGAACTCGCAACGCTCGTTCCAACGAGACCAAGAACTCTTCAAACGGATAAGGCGTCACTGAGTTATGAGCGTCGAAAGCGGCAGATAGGGTAGGACAACATCCAACCGGAAGACATCCAACCGAAAAACATCCAACCGGAAGACATCAAACCGGAAGACATCAAACCGGCGAACATTGTGCCGGCGCCTTCGGCGATAACAGGTAACAGACCTTCGGCGGTGTGCCTTCGGCGAAGGATAAAACGGGCATAACTTTCTCAATTCATAACGGTTTGACCCAGTTAGGGTCTCGTTGGAAAGAACTCGACCTGCTCGTTCCAACGAGCCCACAAACTTGTGAAACAGAGCTAGGGTCTGTGAGTTATGGGTGTCGGGAGTGACTGTTATGGATAAGCAAAGGTGTGGTTGTGCGTCTTCTGCGGGTGGATGCCTTCGGCGGTGCGCGAAAGAAGATCCCCTCCGGCGGATATCGGGTGGTCAGGATGTAGAATGTACAGGTGTGGCGGCGGCGGCGGCGTGTAGTCGCGCAGGGGGAGCAGGCAGCTACCCATCATTGCGAGTGTTGCATTTTCAGGCGGGCTGTGTGTGTCTCGTCCTTGAACTTCAAAGTGGGGAGTTCGGCCTGGGAACGGAGAGCTGGTGGTGTGCGTGTGTGGAGACGGAAGTGGTGAGAATTAGGAGGGGAGTGTGGAGAGTTCGAAGTAGGAGGAAGCAAACTCTCGTGGGTGGAGAGTCGTATTAGAGAGTGAAATTTGAGTGGGATCTGAGATTGAAGTGTAACATCTGTGAGTGGGATCTGAGATCAGAGTGGAAGATCTGAGAATGGGAGCTGAGAGTGAAGTGAAATCCGAGACTGAGATCTGACAGTCGGAATCTGAATTTGACACTGAAAAGGCAAAGTTGAATCTGAGAGAGGAATCTGGTGGGGTCTGAAGGTGGAAGCTGAGAAATCGACACTGAGGTCTGAGTAGGAATTGGGAGTGGGACTGGGATCTAGGATAGACCACAGCGGCTGTGGTGTTGAAACAGTCACCCAGAGTTGAGTTAGATCTTTATGTAACAAAGAGTTTGTCTGCTGCCCTTGTGGAGATAGCAGACAGCAAGTTA